ACCACACTTGGAGTAGCTACGTCCAAGACCCTAAAGTCCTTGAAATTATTAACCTTATCTTTCCAGCCCGTGGAATCTGGACAGACTCCAAGGCTAGACTAACCAGTTGATCCAGGGTGCCCATCCTGGAGGGGTTTCCTGGGACGTAGGACCCTCAGTGTTCAAACCAAGAAAGTTCTAGGCAGACTAGAAAAGTTCGTAACCCCGTCAGGATAATGGACAGGAAAGGGTTGAGCTGCTGTGTGAACTGGGGGAAGAATAAAAAAAGCAGGTGAGGCCGTTAGCTAAGGAGAGGGGCATCTTCACACCCAGAGAAGTTGGGTGACTTGGCCCACATCACACAGCTTCTCGGCGATAGGGCTTCTACTGCTCCTGGCTTCTAAGCAGTTAGGCACCTCGGCACTTTCTGCACTAGTCTTTGCTGCCTTCTGCAACACATTCCTCCTCACTCGGCAAACACAGTGTGTTTATTTATAAATCAGCTTCTTTGGAACCTAAAATTTGGCGCAGCTGATTTTGGCTGTGAGGGGTTCAAATTTTTCCTCTCTTCGTTTTGGTCTGCTTTGTTTCGTGTTTTGTGAACGAAAAGCGCAAAGTAGTAAAAGCACAATGAGGCCACTAGAGTGGTTTGACTGCGAAGCCTCCAGAAATGTGGCAGCCTCATTGTATGCAGATGGATTTTGTGTTTCTAGATGGTAGATTGGAAACCCATGAGGTTTACTTCCAGGGATTTACAAACTTCAAATAAATAAAGAGCTGGGATCTCTTTCCAGGCTGTTTCTCCTGGAGGCAAGATGGGAGGTTGGGAGAAGCAGCCAGGATGGGCAGGTTGCTGGAGGCTGCTCCTAGGCTCCTTAGTCCAGTTCCTAAGAGGAGATGCTAGTCATCGGGCCAAGGCAGGAGCTGCAATTTGCAGAATGAACTCGGAGTTCCTTTTTTTTTCCCCCACTCAGGATTCTTGGCATTTTATTTTGCACACTGCAGAAGTCTTAGAAGAAAGTGGCTTTTTTTTTCTAAGATTTTATTTATTTGTCAGAGAGAGAATGAGAGGGCACAAGCAGGGGAAGTGGCAGGCAAAAGGAGAAGCAGCCTCCCTGCTGAGCAAGGAGCCTGATGTAGGGCTCGATCCCGGGACCCTGGGATCATGACCTGAGCCAAAGGCAGCCGCTTAACCAACTGAGCCACCCACCCAGGACTCCCAAAGTTGCTTTTTATTATTAACACTGAGTATAAGTTCAGGTTTTTGTTGAGAGGTGGAGTGGGGGGAAAAGGGGGTGTAGACAGAGACAGAGAGAGAGAGAACAGAGAGGTTGGCTTCATTTTCTCTGACTCTACCTGGAGTGGATTCCCGAGGCCACAGAGTCTGTGGGCAGCTCCCGATCAGTGCTCTGTGCAAATCTGTCATCCTTTCCAGGACCGGAAGAAGGGAGTCTTAGCCTTGTCCACAATCACATGAGTGTTCAGCCCTTTCAAAACAGTGAGGTTGGGGCGCCTGGGTGGCTCAGTGAGTTAAAGCCTCTGCCTTCGGCTCAGGTCATGATCTCAGGGTCCTGGAATCGAGCCCCGCGTCGGGCTCTCTGCTGAGCGGGGAGCCTGCTTCCCCCTCTCTCTGCCTGCCTCTCTGCCTACTTGTGATCTCTGCCTGTCAAATAAATAAATAAAATCTTTAAAAAAACAAAACAAAACAAAACAAACGGTGAGGTTGGCTGGCAGCTTTTGCCACTGCCTTAAACCTGAGGACGGCATCAGCTTCCTCTGATGTTTTTGGCAATACGATGCACACGTGTGTGCACATATGTGTGTGCACACCTACATGTGCATATACACATGGGGATACTGTGCACAGGGGAGTCCTGATAAAACACACAAACTGAAAAATTTGCTTTCTGTGGTCCACAGAGAACATGGAACAGTGACCAAAGGACACTCTCCACCTCGGCTCTAGGCTGAGACCCGAAAAGTGGCCTCCAGCATCGCAGGTCTGCTGGGGGGAGCGGGTGGTACCTGATTCTGGTGGGAGGGAGATGGCCAGTCACGTGAGCTCGGAAACCCCTTCTGCATTCCTGGAGTCGGGGTTGATGGGTGGGCTCATATGTCCATGTTCTAGAATCAGAAACCCTGAGACCTCACAGGACACGTCCACGCCCCTGGGTCAGCAGATGAGAGGAGCACAGGAGGTGCTCTCAGCCTGACCCCGGGCCCCCCTCATGTCTGGCCTCTGTGTTCCTCGTTCCTCTTCTTTCCCTCATGCTGGCTCTTTTAAGAGTTCTGGTATAAAGCAGAGCTTCCCTGAGAAGTTCTCACTTCTGAGTGCAACACAGACAGCCTCCAGAGCCCTGTTTCACAGGCTTGAAGTTTCCCGTCGCAGTGGTGAACTTTCATGAATCCCACCCTCCCACCCAGCAACGAGATCACTGTGAGGACACACAAAGGTCCCGTGTGGGAAAGGTACTGCCAGTCACCTGCTTTCCCTGGAGACTGTGCATGCTGGTGGGGCGGAAGGTCCTGGGCGGCTGCAAGCCCTCTCGGGTTGACTGTACACATATGTGCGACATGACTTGGCCTTGCTGGACTGTCAGCCAGGCGTGGAAGGTTGACCGCAAGACCCCTGTGTCTTCTTCTGGTCCCTCATTCCCCAAGTGAGCCTCTCTCTCTACCTACCCGGCGAGCCTGCTCTAAATGTTGGAGTAGAATTCCTGCATCTGGGAGACCCTTCTCTTGTCCCCAGTCCTAAGTGTAGCTGGAACCAGGGTTAACTCCGTGAGATGCCAGGCTCTGTATGTGTTTTGGCTCGAGAAGTCCAAAGACTTAATATCCAGTGACACATCTTTAGCTCTTTTTGCTGTAAACAGGCCGTCTCTGCCCTCACCACTGTCCTTGATGGGGTCAGTCAGGCTCACTCTGACCTGGCAGAGGAATCTCGAGCTTTTTCCAGCTGCAGAGGTTACGGCAAAGGCCTCACACCTACCTACCTTCCTTTCTTCCTTCCTTCCTCCCTTCCAGATTTTATTCATTTATTTATTTAAGAGAGAGCACAAGCAGGAGGAGGGGCAGAGGGAGAGGGAGATGCAGACTCCCCACTGACCAGGGAGCCTTTGGTGGGGCTTGATCCCGGGACTCCAGGATCATGACCTGAGCCACCCAGGTGCACCCCCCCCACCACACCTTTCTTCCCTCTCAATGCTCTTTCCCTTCAGGATTCCAGAGCAGGGGGACAGAGCTCCCCCTGGGAAGAGGCTTGCTGGAGTTTAGGAGTGGGGCAAATGGTGCTGTGCCCTGCATTTGGCCACAACAGGAACTGCCCCACTGGCCAGTTTCGACCCATAGAGGTCACAGACGCTTTGCTAGTCAGGTAAGGGCAGAAATCACCCTCCTGCCGGCCGGGAGTGCTGGGAGCCCAGATCATTTCAGCGCCTGGCTGCTCTTCTCTCATTAAGACAGCTCGGTTATAGACCTTTCTGTCCTTCAGAAGCTTGGAAAGAACCCTCTTCTCTTGGCTGAGCTCTTTTCTGTGTCTCACATTCTGACCTTCCCCATAGCTCTTCCTTGTCTGGTTTATGAAAAAAATACACACACACACACACACACACACACACACACACACACACACAGCCGAGTTCCAGCATGTTTCCCACTCAGACTATCAATAGTGCCCTCACTGCCGATAAACCACGAAGCATCTGGAAAACCATGGGTCAAGTGTTTGGATGTGTCTGGTTATTTGCGGACTCCCTACCCGCCACCTCAGGAGGCCTGGTCCTTAAACTGACTTCTTTCTTTTGCAGTGTCTCCGGTGACATGCATAAAAGGGCGTGACTCAGTGGGGATTGATTAAACATTTATTTGCTGCTGATATTCTTTACTCTGAATGAGGTTGAGCTATAGATTTTAATTTTAAAATTCTCTTCAGAAGCAGCCCCAACTCATCCCTGGGACAGAGTTCCCTTAGAACCAGGTGAAGTTTGGGAGCCTAAAGGCTTTGTTCCAAAAGCTTCCAGCAGAGCTGGGCGGTTGGAAACGACTCTCCAGATCAAGGTTTTCCACAGAAAGTCCCTCCTTCCCACGCCAGCTTCCTCTGTTCCCATCCCTTCCCGCAGCTTTGCTCCTTGACAGAATTCAGCGGAAGTTCCCTGCGGAGTAAGTCTCTAGAAGTCCTCCTACCACCCTGTTTCTTCTCTTTAATGGCTATAAAAATCCAGCTCAGAGGAGGAAAGGTACTAGTCTGGTAGGCCCTGCCTTTGAAGGTACTTCCTGGCACTGACAGAAGGACAGGCCGCGAATACCAGGGACACGACACGTGCCGTCGGAGTCTGGAGCCCCACACCGAGATGCACCCGTGCCCGGTAGGGCTGACCAGGCCAAGGCTGGGCCTCCATTGGGGTAATAAATTCCATGAGGCGGCGGGTGGCACACACGCTCCATGTAAGACTGGTTCTCAGCAGAAAGGGTAACTCTAGGGAGTAAGGCCTAAAAATGCAACTCTCCCCCCACAAGTTCTTTCCTCTCCTGGCATTTGCTTTCCTCCAGTGAAGACATTGCCAGACAGAGCCGTCCCTGTGTTTAGCAGATGGCCGGAACGTCTTCAGACTTCCAGAGCTGCCGAGGCTGGGGCGATATACACTGAATCCATAGCCATGAGGACCAGCTCTGGAGTCTATGGACCCTGGGATGTGGCCCCAACCTAGAGCCTTGCTCTCTGTGTCCTGCCGAGGGGCGTTAGGTGCCTCAGGTGGGAAGGGCCGCTGGGGCAGGACCACCGGGGGCGACCTTCGAGAGACCCTCACATCAAAACAGGATGAGATTGGGTTGTTGTCCCTTAAACACCTCATGGGGTTGCTTTTCGGGCCCCTTGCCTCAGTATGTGGTGTGCGATGGGCAAACTGGGGCTCTGGCCCCGGAAGCCAGGGTCTCATCTCCATCTTCCCAGCCAGGGCAAGTTCAGAGGAAGCCAAGAAAAGTCACTTCACTGATTCGCTTCCACTGATCTTCTTTGGGGACCTGGGGTCTTCTTTCCTATCCTTCCAAGGGGAGGCCCGGTGCCCTCAGCACTGCTCAGCCTCCACGAAGCCCTCCTTCTCGTGGCCCGAGGGCTCGACCTCCGTGTAGGTGGAGTGGTTGGGGTGGTTGCGGAATCTCACTGCTGGCCAGTGGTGAGGTCTCCGCTGCGGGGTGGGGGCATGACGCAGAGTCAGTGGGCGTGCCCTCACCCACCTGGGACCCCCCCAACCTGCCCCTCCCCCACCAGGGACAGGGCTGAGCACAGAGACTCTCTTCTCAAGGGCACTGGGGGCCTCCTGTGAGCTAGGTGGAGTTCAACCCCCCGTCCAGAAGCCCCCCGACCCCCCAGTGGTGATCCTTCCACTGGTGGGAGCCTTGCTGCAAGCTGCCCCATCAGTGTTTGTGTGGCTGGGGATCTGCAGTTCCCCGGCGGTGATACCCAGGGAGGCTAAAACTTTAGGCTGACGGGTTAGGGCTTACAAAAAACAGGGGCTTCTAAACAAAGAGGAGGAGACCCCCTGCACCTCTGGGTGATCCTTGTCTGGGAGACCTACAAAGTCAGCCTGGCTGGACCACACGCAGAGTTGGGGAGGAGCAGAGAGCAGAGAACAGGGCCAGGAGCTCATGAGCCCTGTGGCCCAGGGAGAAGGGGGCTCTGGCTCTTCTGAATTCCGAGACATTCCAAACCCTAGCACCCTCAGTGAAAGTTCCCAGAGAGAGCAACTCATGATTACTATATCTTGTCGATTCTGACCTAAACACCCACACAGCAGGCAAAGAGGCAGAGATCTCTGTTCCACTATGGCTTAGAATAAGCAACCGGCCTAGAAATTGGGGGGTGAGAGACCACAAAGCATTAAAGACTGGCTGCACAGTCCCCAGTGATTTCTCTTGCTTTCCTCTGGGGGCTCTTCTGGTTTCACCAACAGGGGAGCGAAAGGCAGACGGACAGGAGGGGGGCAGCACTCCTGGGGGGGAATTAGGTGGGGGGGTGGTTAGGGACTCAAAGGATAGAGTCAAAGATGGTTCCTCAGGAAGGAACAGGAGCCGGGCAGGTTGGGGGGAGGGATGAGGCGGGGAGGGGCAGGTGCCCCACGGCTGGGGAAAGGCTGATGCAGAGGCAGACGGCGGAGCTGGGCCCAAATCCTACACTGACCTCGATGAAGAAGAGCGCGGCATTGGAGGTGGGGTGGCCGTTGATGTAAATCCCAGCCAGGACGATGGCTGCCACCAGGAGGACCGCTAGCACGATGCCCACGATGGTGCCTAGGTGCACGGGGGGGCCCTTGGTCTTGGGAGACAGGTTGTTCTGAAGGCCTGTGGAGAGACCGTTAGGGTAGGGAGTGGCTACCGGGGAACCAGGAAGGGAGGGCCAGGAAGTCCTAGGTCCTAGGTTATCAAAGAGAAGTTCTCTCCAACACCCATGCCACTTAAACGCTTTTCGAGAATTCTCATAGGTTATATGATGGTGAAGAGTTTTGGATCTGAATATTGCTCCCTGATTCAAATTCAAGTTCTATGGCTTATAAGCTGTGTGACCTCAGGCGAATTACATAACCTCTCGGTGCCTCACTTACCACTCTTGTAGAACAAGGATCATAATGATTACCTAATCATAATGATTATAACCCTAAGGGTTAAAACCAGATCATTCGCGTCAACTGCTGAAGACCAGGGCTGGGCTGGTGTCTCAGATGACCTCAGCTATTTTGATAACAAAATTACCATATTTTCACCTGTCACTCTCTGCTACCAGACTGTGGCCTTCTGGAGGGCAAGGACAGTGTCTTCTTATTCATCTCTGTGTCCTTAGCTCTTAGAAAAGATGGCGGGCCCCATGGTAGGAGCTCAATAAAAGAGTGAACCCAGTCCTCCGAGGGCTAATAAACCAGCAGGCAATCTCTGAGAACATTCTGAGCATTTGAAATACATCCCACGGGGAAGGCTGACTATTGCTATAGACTACCAAGCTGGAAGGTCATCTAGTCCAGCCCCTCTCTTGGATGGCTGGAAATACAGACAGGTGAAGTGATTTGCTCAAGGACAGAGTCAGCCAGCGGCTGACAAGCCTGTATTCCCATATTACCTGGGGTGGCTACTTGCCTCTTCTCCCTACCCTGCAGGGATGTGCAGATAATGGAGTAGAAAAGACTGATGAGCACATAAGCAAAAGAAATGCCAAATCCTTTCCTACAGGGGTCGTGGGTGGAAGAGGAATCAGCAGGAGGTGGGGACTTGAAACACACATTCCCATCATTGTCCTCCCCTTCCCTTCTCCTCTGCCCTGTCCCAGGGTGGGTGGGGATGTGGAGTTGGGGGGGGATCCAGTGCACTGTTAGTGCCCCCTACCTGCCAACAGGTGAGGTGACACACCCCCTGCTAGCCTTCCCGGACCTGGCAGTCAGCCTGCAGGGACCCTGGTGATCTGATAGTCAGGGTTTGGGCTGAAAAGCACGCGGTGCAGAGTGAGGGGAACGTGGTCCAGTCCCCACTCCTCACTCCCAGCCTACACTCACAATGCACACTCACACCCACCGCCCACAGAGCAGTCATGGCTTTGTCTCTGTGGGGAGACTGGATCACCATGTTGCATCAGTAGCCTCTCCCCACTGTGAGAACCCAAGATAACAATGTCGCTGCCCCTGGAGTTTGGAAGGCATTTCCAGTTCCCCCGTGTGGTGGTTGTCACAAGGGCCCAAGTTGACCCAGGGCCAAGAGCAGGGGAGGTGGGACATGTCATGTCACCAGATAGAGAATATCCTTGTACTTAATCTTGGGAAAAAAGGAGCCCAATTTCCGGGGCCCTGTAAAATGTGGGGTGGACAAGTTTTGTGTACCCTTTGCCCACGCAGGCAGGGAATCCAAGGCAACTCGATGTGGGAGCTGTGCTCCACCCCTCATTGACGGTGAGGCCCAGGGGGACAAGAGGGGCGGCCAACGGTGACAGGCCCCACACTGCCATGCCTTCTAGCTCAGCTCTTCCTTCCTCCTCTGGCTCTTTTCAGGGCAGTGAGTAGTCAAGACAGACCTCCGGGAGGTGTCTGGCTGATGAGAAATGTCTAGAGGTAGACACGTTCCTTCAGTCTAAGTGGGCCCAGGCCCAGGAGCCCAGTGGGAGGTCTGGGAAGCTCAGGCTGCTGTCACTCCCCTCCCCACCCACCTCGGAGCCAAAGCAAAGAGGCCAGGGGACTGCTGCACCCTCTTGAGGGGCGAGGGGTTTCTAAGAGGCTGTGGGTCTGATGGAGAGTGGCAGAAAGCTCTGTACTCACCCTCTCCTCCTGCATAGGGATTCAACTTGGTGTCATCTTCGAAGAGAAGGAGAGAAGGCGTCAGATCAGTGCAATCATTATGGTCTTGGTCACTTTAGGTCCAGATGGGATTTTTAGGGAGGTTTAGTCCCACCCCACATTTTTTTTTAAAGATTTTATTTATTTATTTGACAGAGATCACAAGGAGGCAGAGAGGCAGGCAGAGAGAGAAGGTGGAGGGAAGCAGGCTCCCTGCTGAGCACAGAGCCCGATGTGGGGCTCGATCCCAGGACCCTGGGATCACGACCTGAGCTGAAGGCAGAGGCTTAACCCACTGAGCCACCCAGGAACCCCCAACCCCACATTTTATGTGGGTTTTTTAAAAAAATTTTTTGAAGAGTTTATTTCTAAGTAATCTCTATACCCAATGTGGGGCTCAAACCCACAACCCTGAGATCAAGAGTCTCACGCTGTACCAATTGAGCCAGCCAGGTGCCCCAATCCTTCATTTTAAAGGCAAAGAAACTAAAGCACAGGGAGGGGAGGTGCCTTGCTTCAAGTCACACAGCAGTGTAATGGTGGAGGTCCACAAACAAACCAACTTTTCCTAGTCCCATGTTCATTGATTCAAGCAATATTTATTGGATGTTTACTGTGCAGTTGAGCCCTGGGAGTAGGCACTGGGGTTCAACATGGTCTCTGCCCTCAGCGAGTTAACAAGTCGGGGAGAGGGAGTGACAACTAAAACCCAGCGTAATGAAGCTCTGACTGGGGGCCTCACCCAGATAAAGTGTGTCAGGACGAAGAGGCAAGACATGGGTGGGGGGAAAGGATTCTAGACAGAGGAAAAAGCATGAGCAAAGGCCCCGAGTCAGCAAGGATTTGGCCAGTTGGGAATAAAAAGCAGGGCAGTATAGCTGGAGGGTGGAGAGGGTGTGAGTAGGGGGTGGTGAGAGATGAGGCTAGGGCACGGGAGGCTAGGAGGGGCTGAGGAGGGGCCTGTGTTCCAGGCGCAGATCTGCTTGAAGACCTCCCCCTCCTCACCTGCGCACAACTTGGAGGAAAGATGTCTACACTCAAGGTGTGTGTCCTGTGGCTTCCTAAATCAGTTCCTATGGTTGACCCTCCCTGTGGCTCTTCCCCACAGGTTGTGGCCACAGCAGCTTTTCTCCCACTCAGCCAAGGCTGGTTCCCAGCTGCCATCTTGCTGGGGGGCATGGAAGGCAAAATGGCTCCCTCATCAGTGGACTGCAGTAGAGTCCCAGGAAGACTCGCACAGTGAGGAAATGCGTGTGGTAGGTATTGAATGAGTGGTCATTTTTCTGAGTCAGTTGTCACTTTTTTTTTTTAAAGATTTAATTTATTTATTTGAGTGAGAAAGGGATAGAGAATGAGGGGTGGGGAGGGGCAGAGAGAGAGAGAGAGAGAGAGAAAGAAAAGCAGACTCCCTGCTGTGCAGGGAGCCTGTTGTGGGGCTCAATCCCAGGATCCGGACTGGAGATCATGACCTGAGCTGAAAGGTAGATGCTTAACCGACTGGGCCACCCAGGTGTCCCTGAGTTGTCTCCTCTTGCTGCTAGCGGTGTGTTCTGTTCTGCTCAGCTGCCCATCACATGAGCCCTTCTCTTGCACACGCTTATTCAGGGTGAGGGCCTGGCTCTCCTTGGAATGAAATGCACAGGTTTGTGGCCGCTGCTTGCCACCCAGAGGTCATTCTGGTTCTCTTTGGAGGAGCGCTCAATCGCAAAAAAAAAAACCAACGAAATCCAGCCCCCACACCTCCTATGCACCCAGCCCTCTCTGCTCCTGAGCTTGGCTGGTGCCAGAGGGGTCCCCGCACCGACCAGCTGCCCGCTCCCACTAACTTCTCTGCTCTCCGGCTCTGCCCTGGCAAGGTGGGTCCCTTTGGCTGTATCCCCTTCATTCCCATCTCCTTGTACCCTAAGATAGACCATGCAGGACAGACTCTAACTCCTGGACTGGATTACTCACTTCCTGTCTCTTCCTTATTCTTTTTCATTTAATTCATCTGAGAATAAATGCTCTCAAAACCTGCACTGCACCCCACTCCCTGTTAATCCTGGACCATCTTAGAATAATGGGAGCTACCCAATCTGCCTTGATGTTCACCCCTTTGCTATTTTTTCCAGCCCCTTAAATCCGCAAAGACCTTTTTTTTTCTTTTTTTTCAGCACTGGAATGCCTGTGTGGCTCAGTTGGTCAAGAATCTGCCTTCTGCTCAGGTCATGATCCCAGGGTCCTGGGAGGGAGTCCCCATCAGGATCCCTGCTCAGCGGGGAGTCGGCTTCTCCCTCTGCCTGCTGTTCCCCCTGCTTGTGTTCTCTATCTAACAAATAAATAAAATTTTTTTTTTTTTAAGGTGGTTTCTTTTTTTTTTTTTTCCCCAGCACCAAGAAAAGCAGTTGAGGGGCAAGATCTCCGCTTTTGAGCCGAATGAGACCTGACTCCACCTCTTCCTGCCTATGTGACCCTGGGCAAGTCACTGACCTCCCTAGACCTTGGTGTCTTCTCTGAGAAATGGAGATATAACAGAATCAGCGTGCAGGGTTGTCAGGAGGACCAAGTGAGTGTTGATGCCTGAACAACGTTAGCTCATGGTCAGGCCCCTCAGAATGTTAGCTCACAGGGTGCCTGGGTGGCTCAGTTGTTAAGTGACTGCCTTCAGCTCAGGTCATGATCCTGGGGTCCAGGGATCAACCCCTGTGTCGGGCTCCCTGCTTGGCGGGGAGTCTGTTTCTCCCTCGGACCCTCACCCTGCTTGTGTTGTTCTCTCTTTCAAATAAATAAATAAAATCTTTTAAAAAAAAAAATGTTAGCTCGCCTATTATTTGCTCCCTCCTCTAGGACTTCCTTCTGGCCAGACCCATGGGTCCATTCTCCAGTTCTTTAGGCTGCAGTGAGAAAGGCAGAGGGGCACCGTGGAAAGAACATTCCACCACTTCCTTTGCAGGTAACCCCGAGTAACCAACTTCGCCCCTACGGAGCCCGTTTCCATAGCTACCAAATGGGATGGTGGCTGAATAATGTTTTAAAACATTTGCCTTTTTCTCTTCTCCTTTCCTCTGTTGCATTTGCCCCTTTCAAGCAGGTACATGGCTCCATGGAGGCCGGACAAGCCCATGTCTTTCTGAGCCTGAGGGCAATAGGCTAACACCTGGCAGTGATGTATTAAAGAAGGATGAGAGAGGAAAATCCGGGAAGGGCCTGCACCGGGCTTCCCCTGATGCTATGTGGTACCTCTGGGTGGACAGACCTCTGGCAGCTTCAAGAACCCAGGCCTTGGGATGGCAGAAGTCCCTGAGGGGGGTGTGTGGGGGGCAGCTAGACCTTGGAGAGGTAGGGATGGAGCATCAGCATTCCTCCTGAACACAGGTGCCCCACTCTGACCCTCTGTCCACACCAGATCCCAGGGCCAGGAAGCCGGGCTGAGGGGCATCCCTCCTGCTGAGCACAGTTGGAGGAAAATCAGGCAGTCTTTCACTCACGTCTGAGTGTGTGGACTGAGTGTGTGGACAGCTACAAGGCTGCTAAGACCTCCCGGGTTCTGTGAGGACAGCTATTAAGATGACCTGAGGCGGAGCATATGACATTCCGGGCCCTGGGCTGGGACGTCTGTCTTCCCCTCGCCACAGCGAATCCATCCCACGTCCCGACGTGGGCCAGTGCCTGCCTCTGCCTCTCCCCAGGGGCCCTCCTCCATGAAAGTTGGGCCATTCCTCTTCCCTGAGACAATCCCTGTCAGGGATGGTTGCAGGGGCCCCAGGCCTTTCCCTCCCTGGGGCTTCTTCCCCCAGCCGCTCCCCACTCCTGGCTCAGGCCTTACCTTCTGTGGTGAGGCTGTCGATGAAGAGCGAGGAGGAAGTGGTGGTGAGGTCTCCGTCAAAGGGACTGAAGGAGCTGTTGGGGGAGGCCGAGTAGTGGCCTTCGTCCCGGAAGTCCTCACACGTCCTGCCCTCTGCCTGCAGGACAGACCCCGCACTGCTCTGCACAGAAGCCTCACTGCCCGCCGTGCAGAAAAGAGCCCTTACTTGGGAGGATGGAGGGGGACCCCTCGTCCCTCAGCGGCCAGAAACCTTCAGATGCCGGTGCACGGCTCAAGGGTAAGGGGGGCCCTGAGGGCACTTACACCTTCCACTTTATCCTGAAAGTGCCTGATCTATCTTACAAGGCAATTTAGCTGACTGCGGCTTCCGATCCTTCCTCGAGGAAGGAGCGGAGATGCCAATCTTACACAAATAAAGCAAATCCATACGTTCACCACAGCCAGCGCCCCAAGTGGGCTGCTGGACAAGATTTGTTTTCAGGTCATAGAAGGCTCCTCTGGCCTTACTAATAACAGAGGAGGTGGTGAGCGCACAGCCTGGGGCCTGGGGCCTTGGCACTTCTGTATCCCACCCGTTGCGCGGGGCAGGTCAAGTCATGAAATCTCTCTGTGCCTCAGTTTTCTGCTCTGAGCAGGTGGGGGGGACCAGCCCCCCGGCTCCTGCGCCTGTTCTGATGAAATCAGAGCAAGTGCGGGCAGTGTGCTGTGGAGGGCTCACATGGCAAGAAGGGATGGAGAGGACGAGGGAGAGGAAAAGGACGCCCAGATGAATGGATCTGTCTGGGTCGGGATAAGGTTTAAGAATAGGATGCTCTCCACCCAGAATCAAAGCGTAGAGCATTCTGGAAAACTCCAGCAACGAGAAGGAACCTGTATGGGATTCTAAAGGGGAGGTGCCCGGAACCATCCTCTTCCCTCCCAGAAAAGCCTGCCTCCAGAGAGCCCTCGAAAATCTCCCAAGTCTGGCCTCACTGGCTCAGGGCAGTCTGAGAGGCAAGGCCCGGATGGAGGGGAGAATTCCGCCAAAAGCCAAAGACACCTTGTGGAGAGCTCCTGGGGGACAGGCCTGCCAGGGCAGCCCGACCGTTTCCCACAAACTGGCTTGCTGAAGCTTCTCACCTCCTGGGCACAGCCGTAGGCCAGCCACTCCTGGCGGTAGCGGTCAAAACCACTGGAGCATCTGCAAGGGGATCAAAAGGTAAGAGGTGTGAAGGACTGACAGAGAAGCCCTCCCCCTCTTTCCCCCGGTCAGTAATAGCTCTCTGACGATAGTGAGGAGGGGGCTGACTTCCCAGGGCTGCGGTGATCAAGACCACGGGGCCGGTGCCCTCCTCAGCACCAGGCAGCTAGGGGATCAGCAGTCAGACCCCTCTTCCCCAATTACGCCAAAGGAAGGGAAGGTGTCTGTGTCATCTCTATCCTCCTTCAGACCCAGCTCCCCAGGACTAAGGCCACATCTACCCAGATGTGTGTGTATAGGGCATTAGATGGACTGCATGACCTCAAATAAACTTTAAATTTCTCTTGGCTCTAGGCTGCTATGAAATTGCTGAGCACCAGGGAAATCACACAAATGTCTTCTCAGGAAAGCCTCGCTTATTCATAGACAGTCCTCCTCCTTCTTTGCGGAGGGGCCTGAACTTGACAAGGAGAGTCTGGGCTGACGGTGGACGTCAACAGAGTTAGTCAATACCTCCTGTGTGATCATTAAAGGGCAAGAAGGAGGGTCTTGCCAGAGGCTAGGAGAAATTTAAAAAACTGGCTGGTCAGTGTCCCAGGAAAGGATGCTGTGCAGCTCCGCTGGGCTGGGAGAGGCCAAGTGCATCCCTAGAGAAGGGGTGGGGGTACGAGGATGAACCAGAGAATGTTAATGTTCTCCGTGGCATCAGGCTCCCATTTCCATTCTTCACTCTGGTGCCAGGGGAAGCCAGCGAGCCCTGCTCTAGCTCTGGGACATCTGCATGGGAAGAAGCATCCCATGAGCCACCAGTGCTGAGAGAGGATTTGTGGTTAGTTAACTTTCTTCCCTAGCATCCGCCCACCCCTCTGCCAAAGACCTGGTGAGGCAGAAGGTTCCCGAGCACTGAGCTGCTTCTCCTGCAGCAGGGGGAGCGGGGACGCACTAAGCCATCCCCACTCCCCCACTCTCAGGTCCTCTGAGTCCACTACTTTAGGGCATGGAGGATTGTGTTAGGGGCTGGGAACTAAAGTTCCTTTTGAAGCCAAACTAAAGGATTCTTTCAAGGGCTGAGCCTTTGATAATAGGTCTAAGAGCTTCACATTCTAAGCCCTGAGCCAACCAACCCAGATGCAGAGAAGGGCCTGAGATATGGCCACTATTGAGCGCCTCCTGAATGCCAAAGGCCACCCCAGCCATGTGCTATTCCTGTCCTGTTTCAGGGGACCCTCACAGTGACCCTGAAAAGCAGGGATTATGGCCCCTCATTCCCTGGGCCAAATCCTGGAGTTAAGGTCACCTCTTAAGGGGGTGGGTTGGGGGTGATGGTTGGGGGTGATGTGGGATGAAAGGAAGACACCAGCCATGGTAAGTGAAATTGTCTAAATCAGATCCAGCCCCAGCGCAAGGAGGGGAAGCTCTGGGAGGCTGCGGAAGGCAGAGTGGGTGGCGAGGAAGGGGAAGCTGAAAACCCACAGGGTGATTGCAAGCAGCTGTGGCGGGGAGAGTCCCTGGTGGCCGGGGCCTCGGCACCAGCCCTGCCTCCTGGCTCTTTGGGGACCCGGGGTCAGCTCTCAGTGGATGCCAAGACTCCAGATGGCTGGCAAGGAGGACCCCATGCTGGGGTGAGCCCAGGCTCACGGGCATTGGAGGACAAGACTTCGGACCCACATCAGCCTTGCCTTTTCACTGCTGGAGCTTCTCCATCCCAGAGCTGACATGACCACAGCAAAGGCCATGTCTGCACTTAAGGCCTTGGCCTCCCCCAACCTGACCAACCCTCATTAAACGGTCATGGTCCCTGGGTTTGGGCGTATGTGTTAAATGGGGATGTGTCCATGCGAGGCTTTTGCTTTCATCTGACCCATTTTGAAGTTCTCATGGCTCAGCTCTGGTTGGACACTGAGTCATGCGGTGGCCGGCCAGCCCCAGGATTCCAGGGCTCATTTGAGGTCATCCGGGCTATCTCTCCACGTTGAGACAGTGGCTCGCAAACTTGAGAGGTCCAGAGGGGGACCACGCTGTAAAGCCACACACCAGGAGGGACCAAGCTGGGGTCTGCCCTAGGTATCCTCTCTGAGGCTCCATGCCCTTCGTGCACGGGGCCCTGGACACTTTGCAAAAATGCTCTTTGGTAGTTGAGAAATTAAAATGATGGCATGTTCCTCACCCACTTTTCCCCGGGCCCACATCACCACAGAGCCCATTTTATGGGGAAAATAAATTGAGGCCCCAAGAGAGTGAGTAAGAGTACAGCTGATGGGAAGAAAAACACCCTGGAGCCCCTCTCCTCCTGGCCTGGGCTATGCCTTGTGCTGGGCAGGCTGCCTGCGAGGGCGGCAGCTTCTATTTCTGCACCAGGATGTTTGAAAGGAGCAAAGGAAATGCTGACAGGTGCCCCACAGCTGCGTGGAACGCAGAGACTCTGTAATTTGCAATTTTCAAGATTGCCTCGGAGGCTCTCGGAGTTCACAGGGCTTCCCACTCTCATGAGAGCCTCAGTCCCCAGAGACATTTTTCCCCCTTCCTGCTATTTATTTATCTTGGACAGGAGAACAGGGCTCGGATTCTGAGTCTAATCTGTGAGGAAATGATTTCAGAACAAGGAGTGGAAGATGAGTTGGATTTAAGAACTTTATCCCTGAATCCAAATCTCATCCGGAATTTTCCCTATTTCCAAAACCAAGCAAACACAGCTTTGTAGCTTGCCCTAACCTTCCACAGATGCCTGCAATTTCCATAGCCCCGATTTTCAGGAAACTCCCTTGCAGCCTGACAAAGATCTTCAGGAGGAGTTTTGGGGTCAGGGGGATCCCATCCAATGGCAATGGGACTTTGGAGCCGGGAGGTCCCACACTTGTTTGCAGATGAGGCACCGTGTTGAAATTCAGGCTCCTGGGCGTCCCTCCCAGAGACCCTGATCCTGCGGGGCCTGGGGCGGGGCCCAGGAATCTGCATATTTAACCAGAGCCCTAGCTGAGTTTGGGATCCTCACAGCTGTGGATCATTCTCGAGAAGCCCTGCCCTAGGATGAGCCAACTCTTCCGGGGTGTGAGGAGGAGTTGCAGCTGTTGGGATCCCTGGATGGTCTTCCGGAAACCTAGCGTCACCATAGGGACCTGGCTACACGGTCACCTTGATTGGTCCCAGGCCTTAGGGAAAGACTCACTTCTGTGACATTCTCGTCCCAGGGGGCACAGTGGACTGGCTAGAGATACTCTCATGGTGGCAGTGAGGCGGGGAGTGGGGGCCAGGCCACCCTCCGCCCCTCCTCCACAGTCCACCCGTGGGCCTCAGCCTGGGCACAAACCTCTGGAGGACATGGCACCAGCTGCAGTTGAAGGTCAGGTCCGAGGACACGCAGGCGTCACAGCTCTGATGCTGCAGGCAGGCTACAAGAGAGAAGGTGACTGTCCCCCAGCCGCAGACCCTCCGTGGACCTCCACGGACCTCCAAAAGGCACAACTCTCCTCGGTGCCAGGCCTTTACAGAGCTACGGAGTCTCTGACTAGCAGGGACCCTGGAAGTCATTAATGCCACCCTCCCTCACATCCAGCCCCGATTCTTCTGTCTGTTTCTCCCTCCTCCCCTTTCTTCCTTCCTCCTTCCGTTCCCAGGGGGCTGCGCCCCGAGCTGGGACTGGGGTTTGCACCATAAATCCTGGTGCCTGCCCTCTTGGGCCTTATAGTCCTCTGGGTGGACAGACACTAAATAGATCATCAAACAAACATAACTATGTCATTATCATCATGATGAGGCTCGGGAAGGAAAATTGCAGGGGCCTGGAAGCGTGGACAAAGGGATCTCACCTAGCCTGGGAAGTTATACTGCTGGGCTGTTGCCCACAATTACAGGCTGGAAAAGGATTCTTTGTCTTAACTGAGATCTGTTTGACACAGAACACTGTATATGCTCAAGACGTAGGGTATGTTGATTTGACACCTTTATATTGCACTATGATTGTCGTTGGAGGGTTAACTACGAATGCCACTAAGTCACATGGTTGTTATGTCCTCTCCTGGCAGGAACAAGAACTAGTCTTCCAACAAGTTTAATGTTTTTTTTTTTAATTCATTAATTTATTTATTAGAGAGAGAGAGAGCACGAGCAGGACGGAGAGGGGAGAAGCAGGCTCTCTGCTGAGCAAGGAGCCCCATGCGGGACTCGATCCCAGGACCCCAAGACCACAAAGCAAGCCAAAGTCAGATGCCTAACCCACTGAGCTACCCAGGCACCCTGAATTTAATGTTTAGAATACACTTCTGTTGGCTATAATCACAGAAAAGGATGTTTATGATGTTCTGGTTTGCCCCCCAGCCAGTGTTAGCTGGAAGCATGCCTTCCGTCCATGTGGAGCACCTGGGGCCAGAATCATCCCCTGGCCTGTCTCCACCTCCTCACTCACCTCAGGGGAGCCTGAGCACTGTGTTTGTGGGGGGTCAACCAGGCATTCCCGATTCCATCCCTTTCTTCTCCCTCCCCACTTGGAAGTGAGCTACCCCTGGGGCTGTGTGGGTCTCTCTGCTCACTAGGGTTATGTCTCACGTGGGGAGTTACTGAACCTCACTGTGTCTCAGTTTCTCCTGTGGAAAAGAGGGATCCTGATGGTCTCTGCTGGGCAGACGTGCAGTGAGGATGAAATGAGGCGACCCGGGGAGAGGGTCTGTACGTGGGCCGGCCCTGAGGTGAGTCCTGTGAATGCTGCCCGTGGGTGACTGTGAGCTTACTCGTGCCCCTCAGCGTACCTACCAGGGATTCGTCCACTCATTCATTCATGTTCACGTTCATTCTTCTTTGCTCTTTAGAGATTTATTTGTTTGAGAGAGAGAGAGAGCGAGCGCACACACGTGAGCAGGGGAGGGAGAGAGAGAATCCCCAAGCAGGCTCCCTGCTGAGTGCAGAGCCCGATGTGGGGCTCGATCCCAGGACCCCAAGATCATCACCTGAGCCAAAACCAAGAGTGGGACGCCTAACCGACTGTGCGCCCTGATGCAGTCTTTCAACAGGTATGTATTGAGCACCTGCCACAGGTAGGCACGGTCCCGGCTGTGGAAGCTGCAGTGACGAACAGGGAAAGACAGACAGACGCGATTCTGGCACAGAGCCTGCCACTAAGCGCAGGAGATGCCCAACAATACCCAGACAACAAAGTCTGCACTAGGGTTTCTAGCAGCAGGCTGGGAAAACAAGGGGCTCAGAACAGGGAGGCGGGGTGACAGTGCGGGGGTTGTCCTATTCGGGGAAGGTTGGCGAAGGCCTCTGAGGAGAGGTTGTTTGGGCAGAGATTGAGAGCAGGGAGGAAGCAATCTGGAGGCTCTCCTGGAGGAGGAGGAGGAGTTGAAGCAGAAAAGCCCCTGAGCACAGAGGCCGGGGAGGAGCATATTCCAGCGGTGTTCCCAGCGGCCGCCAGAACACTAACGGGCTGCATGGAGTGGACAAGCTGAGGGTGATGGGAATGAGGGGGAGGGACAGCTGGGGGCTGGCCTGGGGCAGGGCAGAGCCGGAAAGCAGAGGAGTTAGTGGGAGAGGGCTGCTGGACAGTGCGGGGACCCCTGTGGCACCAGCCAAGCCCAGAAGCAGAGAGGGCCGGGGCGCAGGAGGTGTGGGGGCTGGATTTTAAGCGTTGTTCGCTTGCGATTGAGCACTCCTCCGAAGAGAACCAGAATGACCTCTGGGTGGCAAGCAGCTGCCACAGACCTGTGCATTTCATTCCAAGGAGAGCCAGGCCCTCACCCTGAATAAGCGTGTGCAAGAGAAGGGCTCATGTGATGGGCAGCTGAACAGAACAGAACACACCGCTAGCAGCAAGAGGGTACAACTGACTCAGAAAAATGACCACTCGTTCAACACCTACCACACACATTTCCTCACTCTGTGAGTCTTCCTGGGACTCTACTGCAGTCCATTAATGAGGGAGCCACTTTGTCTGCCATGCCCCCAACCCCAGCAAGATGGCGGCTGGGAACCAGCCATGGCTGAGTGGGAGAAAAGCTGCTGTGGCCACAGTGTGTCACTTTCAGTCACTGTGAGAGGGACTGGCTGTAGATGGCACTGTGTCCTTTCAACAGAATGGAGCTCTCCAGCTGTTTTGTCCCCTGCTATACCCAGAGGGCCCAGAACAGCTCCCTATCACGGATGGACGGTAGGCAGTTAACCAATGTTTGTGGAATCGATGCCTGCGTGATTTTGTTATCCCCATTTTACAGGTGAAGGAACTGAGGCTTAGAGAGAGTCACAGAGCTAGGAGTGGTGGTCTGGGCTTGAACTGAGGTCTGAGGGAGCCAAAAGCCTGAGCTCTTAGCCTGGAGGTCCCACAGGGGGCTTCCCTGCCCCAGCTCCCACCCTCTGCCCATGCCACTCTCTTATGGTGTCTTCTGGAAGAGGGACCAGGAGGAACTGGCCACAGAGTACAATGGCTTGGAGACAGCCCATCCACACCTCTGGACAAATCTTGGGTAAGTAAACCGCCCCCCCACCCGCCACCCAAAGGTAAGAGAGAAATCCTTCCTGGTTGGGGGCCGGGGTGCAGAGTTTTCTTGGGACCAAGTTAACCAGCTTCCAGAGGCTCCAAGCAATTGCTCCAGGCAAACTGGCCATGAGAAAAAGGCTTGGGAGCCTCCGTGGGGTAGGTGTACAACCCACTGACCTTTATTTCTCATCTGCATTTCAGATGTCCTGCGAGCTATTAAATGCTCACGAATTCACTGGAGGGGTGGAAATGGCTGAAATGTACAGTGTCCCAGAAACGATTCTCAGGATGCTTCACTTCCGCCCAGGCAGTTACCTGCCCTTGGATGTCCTTGCTCCCAAGTGCGGTTTATTCAAGTCCTGAGCCTGGAGGTTTGCCCTCAGCAGTCCTTGAGGAACCCCTGCTTCTCAGGCCCCAGGTCTCTCCTGCCTAAGACAGAGGGCAGCTGCGGTGGGGGTGGGGCTGTGACCTTCAAGGGGTTCATGTCCTGTGACCCATGGTGTCTGTGTCCTTCCTCTTTCCCAGGGGGAGACACCTGCTAAGCCCCGCTGAGACAGGCCTAGTGTTCAAGAACTTTCCTCCTCCCCTTCTTCTTTCTCCACTCCCCCACCCCCGGCTTCCAGAACCTCCAGGGAAGAGGAAGCCAGGAGAGGCAAGGCAAGAAACACCCCAGAAGGCAGGAAGAAGGCCATGGACTCAGAGGGAAGCTGGTAGGTACTGTGAGACAGGAGAGGAAATTCAAACTCTCTTTCAAAAATGCAAGAACAGGGGTGCCTGGCTGGCTCAGTCCGGAGGGCATGAGCCTCTTGATCTCAGGGTCATGAGGTCCCACATTGGTTGTAGAAATTAAATAAACAAATAAACTTTAAAAAATAAGAAGAAAGTAAAACTGCGGGCTGCGAGAACAAGAGTGCTGTCCTCCTTTCCCTCGCTCTCCCCAGCTGCCCGGACCATATCCCAAAGGGCACCTAACCCCGATCCTGTGGGGTCCACAGCAACAGCTGGGGCCTTGGTCATGGACCTCAGCTATAGGTGAGTGGGGCACCGGGGAGGGCCGGAGCCGTGGTTCTTGGAGGACTGCTGGCTAAATCGCTTTATTGCCTCCAGCCTGTGAACTCTGGCATTACTGCTCCTCTAAGGAACATATGACAAGAAATGTAAGGGCCCATGGGTGCCTGGGAGGCTCAGTCTGCCTTCGGCTCAGGTCATGATCCCGGGATCGAGCCCTGGCATCTTGGGCTCCCTGCTCAGAGGGGAGTCTGCTTTTCCCTCTTCTCTCTGCCCTTCTCCCCTACTTGTGTGCACTCTCTCTCTCTCTTTCTCAAATAAATAAATAAAATCTTAAAAAAAAAAAAAAGAAAGAAATGTAAGGATTGATTCACTCGGTTCCTGAATTACCTTTCCTGGGGGCTCAGTCTAAAAATCCTCAAGGATACACCTTTCCTGGTTTTAATTGTATGTTAATCACCACAGGTATCCTGTATCAAGTACAACCACGCCCGGGATGCCAGCGAGTTTCAGCACTGGCATTAATGTCCTCAACTCTACCTGCCATGCTTCTGACCCTGACCTTAGCTCTGGGAGGGAAGTGGTGTGAGGCACATGTGACAAATGAGAAAGGGCAGCCCGGAGAAATGAGGTGGCCGTACCCACACAAGGGTCAGTGGTGGGCCTGGGAATTGAACCCAGATTGTTTCGCTCTGAAGCTCTTTCCAGGACAGTGGAATGCCCTCCCTTGGTGGGGACGACCCCTACTCACTTGGCATTGGGGTGAACTCCACAGCTGTTGTGCTGGTGACCTTGCTGGGGTCCAGCTCCACACGATGGTATTCGAAGATGGTCCTTCGCCGAGATTCTGAAACAGAGGCAGAGCCCGTCACTGGGAGCATCACATGCCCAGAGGACTTTGAAGTTTGTACCCAGAGCCTGACAGGTGGGCAAGAGACTCAAGTGAGTGGATTGAGGGGGTGGTCGGGATGCAGCCCCTAGGGGCAGGAAGTAAACTTCTCAACCTCGGACAACGATCTCGAAGCTGCAGGGAGACAGGAGGACAGGAGTTAACCCTGCAAGGAGAGCTTTGAATTGTTGACAGGTTAAACTACCCAACGCAGAGGACTGGCTGCTCCTGAGGTCAAGACCTAGGAGCTCCCCTGCTTCTGCACAACTCTGTGCCTTCACAGCTGCTGTTCCCTTGACCCATACTGTCCTTGACACCTTCTCCCCTCCTCTAGCTCACCCTTCCAGATCCAGCTCGGGACTACTTCCTCTGAGCAGCCTTCCTTCACCAGGTCCCTCCTCTTCTGTACCCAGGCCAGGCACCCTGCTCCCCCTGCACACCCCATGTATGTGGTCACCGGGGTCTATTTGGGGGGCGGGGCCGTTAGACAGTGAGCATCGGGTCCTGAACCTGACCCACAGAGAGCACTCTGCAAATGTCTGCAGACGCACAGGATGAACTTGGGAAACCTCCCCCGTCCAGAATGGAAGCCAGAGTGAGGTTCAGGGCCTGGGGCTGGGCTTATATTATGTCTCAGTCCCTGCAGGGCATCGGTTTCAAGAAACTTGAGTTTTGATTCAAGTTCCGCTCCCGATTGGGCCTCAGTTTCTTATTTGTGATGTGGAAAGGCAGAAACACCTGCTACAACACATTTGGGAGGAAAAACGTACAATTGTAGAGGAAAGACTTCTCCTAAAATGACAATAGATGCTCTGATACTTTCCACCACATCTCCACACCCACCCAAGAACCACAACATGGGGTTGGTTTCCTTCAGCTCTGAAAGGCCATCAGCCAGCTGCAGAGCTTTGTGAATGAATTTCCCTATAAGGGGAAGGAGCCTTGTTGTGCTCGGCCTGTTCAGTGCCCCTTCTTCTTTATGGAAACAGCACTCCCTTTGAGGGAACTACCCCTAGTCCATTCCTACATGTGCTTGGCCCTGGAGCTACTACCATCTTCCCCCATGACTCCGCCTCCCTGGCTGCACAGTGATTGGTCCAGGGCTGGGCATGTGATGCAAGCTGGGCCAATCAGAGACCTTCCCTGGGACTTTTCAATTGTAACCAAAAGGCCCTTTGCTTTCTGGTAATGAAGCTCAGAAAATGCAAGCTCCAAGTCCATGAACAGCCACAGGTCCAATCTCACGCACAGACTCACAGCAGTACATAATCGTGGCTCTCCAGCCTCTGGTGCCCCCAGGACCTGCCCTGGTCCCTGTCTTCCTGGCTCTCAGTTCTTCCTTTGGTTCTTTGGGCTGCTTCATATCCCCTCTTCCACTTAAGATAGTTTGAGCTGGGCTTTTGTTTCTGGAAGCCAAGAGCAGGCGGGGATGTAACTTTCCTCTCTCAGATGAAGGTGGTTTGGAGGAACCTTCCCCAAGGTGGCAGGAGAACTCATCAGGCCCAGCTGTGAAAGGAAGGGGGTCGTGTGTTGGGTGCCCCCTCCTCAGTACTCCTCCTGCATGAAGAATCTGCTCAAAAGAACATCTCATCTTGGTTTCTATCATGGATTTATCTCCGATCTTGGAATCAATGCCTCCTACTTAACCGTGGGTTGAACCCCAGGGGTCTGGTGCTTCTCTTCCCACCACACCACACTGCTGTGCGGCAGAGCAATGATGGGCACGTCGGCTCCAGGAACATTCCCAACCTCGGAATGTCCTGGAAACTTCGCCCTATGCAATGAATGAGTCCTGACTGGTGGCGTTTGCTGATTTTTGTGGTATACACACGCCCCATGCGGATTTCAAGCTACCAATTTGGAGTCACTGAACACAGCATCAGAAAGAGACGTGGTCACTTTGCTCTCGTGATTCTATACAAGGGTGCCCGCCACACCATAGCTCCTGGTTTCTCTGCAGTTGTCCTCCACATTCGAGGCTTCGCTTTCGCAGCCTGAGACCCCACCCCCACTCCATCAGCCATGCCACTCACCTCCCCCCACCTCCTCACCAACGGAGGGTGTGAGTACAGTACAGTAAGATATTTTGAGAGAGAGACCACATTCACTTTCACTTGACTTTTATAACATGACATTGCTATCATTGCTCTGTGTTATTACTAGTTAGTGTTGTAAATCTCTTGCTGTGTCTAGTTTATAAATTAAGCTTTACCATAGGTATGTAGGTATAGGAAGAAACACAGTATCCACAAGCTTCAGTGCTGCTCATGGTTTCAGGTAGCCACTGGGGATCATGGAACGTGTGCCCGCAGATAAGGGGGGGACCACTGTATTTGTGCTTCTAAAAGGGCAAAAAGGAAACATTTACAGTGTTTCAGTAAAAGTAAATACTTAAGCCAACATCCCAAAGATGGAGGAACTGTGTCCTTATTTTTTTCCTCAGCAACCCTAAGTCTGAAAGGGAAGGGGCCAAGAGGAAATCCTCATAGCCCTCAGGCACACAGTCACTACCCGATGTCTACAGGGTTACCAAGGTCCTAGGGAGGAGAGACTCTTCCATCAAAAGCTGAGGGATGAGGTTCACAGAGCCCTGTACACACACGCACACACACATTTTTTTTTTTTTTTTGGTACAAGAAAGGGCCATTGCCAAGCAGGAGTGGGGTCTGGAAGAGATTGGGGTGAGGAAGGTCAGCTAGGAGTGGGGTCTGGAAGAGATTGGGGTGAGGAAGGTCAGCTTTCTGTAATTTTTTGCTCAGTTTTTAATCTTTAATCTTTCATCAGGGCCTGTATGCGCTGCAGGGCCCTCCCCAAGTAGCACCAATTGCACTGGGAAGGTGGCCTGGGATAGGAGTGAGCCTAGGGGACGTGGGACATCTAGGTGGAGGACACCCAGGCAGCCTTCCACGGCTCTGTCCCACACACCACCCCCAAGGGCTATCTCTCCTTCTGAAAAATCACCCCTTTGAGCATTAAAATGTAAGGGGAAGAAAACAAAGGGAAATTCCAGGTCTTCCAAGGGGTGTGAGACCATGGGATCTATAATCTATGGAAACCTTTCTTCTTTATCTGCTTCCTCTTGCAAGACTCAATTTAAAGGACACGTCCTCCATGAAGGCTTCCCCACCCTCCCCAGCACCGTCAGTGGCCCCTCCTCTGAGCTTCACAGCTTCCTGCACGATGTCCAGGATCCCCTGTTACACCTTCCATCAGTATTGACTTTGATCAACACCTGCCCCACCAGGCTGAGCTCTACCACTCCCACCCCCCAGCCCCTAGCATCAGCCCCTGCACATAACAGGGCCTCAAAAGAAATGACTGTGAATGAATGAGTGGATTATAGATAATCACCAAAACCTCAGCAACGTATTTATAACTTCAGTCCACAGCCTAAAGGAAGAACGCCCTTCCTCCCCAGCCCACCAGACTATGGCCTTTCTCGAAAGGGGAGCCCCCAATGGGCACTGTAGTCAGACATGCCCCTTCTGACCTTAGAGCTCAAAGGAGGGGAGAGCTGGCTTTCCGGATTTCCCACCTGCAAGGATGTAGAGGAGAGCTTGCCCCCAGGGTGGGAAGGAAGGAGAAATGGAAAGAACAAGCGAAGTCAGGTTGGGCATGAATGAGGGCATGAACTTGTCAAGGAGGCCGATTTCAAGGATAGAGACACACAAGCAGCAGCCAGGGAAGGCAAGGTTCCCAGCAAACCTCCCGCCAGAATCTAGGGATGGGTCCCCCCACCACCTGGGCCGGGGAACCAGAATTAGGGGTGTGCTCCAAGGGAGGATGCAGTCAGACGGGGTCAGATGTGCTCCAAAGCCCATCATTGCCCTACCGCAGGGCAGGGAAGAGGAGTGTGGTAGGAAGGGGGATGAGAGTGGGTGTGCGGAAATAGATTGCTGATTAAAAATATTTGCTCACTTCAACTGCCAACTTGTACTTGTTTGAGTGTATGGCTTGGGTAACATTTTATTTCTCTATAAACAGAACTCTTAATATCTCTGCCTGAGTTATTTGCTTTTGGATTATCTCGCCAACATCTGGGGCCCGCCCAAGGACGATGACGTCCATCTGCACGACCAACAGATCCCTCCGGAAGCAAGACAGAGGCCTCCCCAAAGCCACATTTCTGGCAGTTTGAGACGTTCTGTTTTTATCTCTGCCTCCACTCATCAAAGATTCAGAAATACTGAGATCTAGACACGGAAAGCGCTGCTACCCAGACAAGAAATGTTAGCGGCTCAAAAGAGAGGTTTACATGTCCCATTTTGTTTCAAAACCAGACACCAGCGGGGAAGGGTTGGATTGGTCAGAAGAAATCAGACTGACAAGTCCTGCCACAAAGTGCAACCACTCCAAAAATGGGTGGTTACAAGATTAAAAAATATAAGATGGTAGTTTTAGAAGAAGTTTTCATTTCTTCATTCATGTATTTCTTTTTTTTTTAAGGCTTTATTTATTTATTTTAACAGAGATAGAGAGAAAGCATAAGCAGGGGGAAGGGCAGAGGGAGAAGCAAGCTTCCCACTGAGCAGGAAGCCCCATGGGAACTCGATCCCAGGACCCCAGAATCATGACCTGAGCCAAAGGCAGCCACTTAACAAACCGAGCCACCAGGTGCACCAAGAACGAGTTTCTTACGCAAATGAATAGAGGAAATTTTATTGACTCCTGGGGGCCCCTGTGGCCAAATAAAGAGCATATGAGCTACCTTGTATGTTTTGCGTGCCTATGCAGAAAGCCGCCGCTAATTGCCCATAGATCTTGTCTCTGCATTAGGCGCGCTCTGCAGACTCTGCTGCAAAGCCCGTGTTAACGGTTTATGTAAGGAAGTAATGGTAAGAAAAATTCTGGCTTTTGCAGCATCTCCTTCCCTCAATCCCAGAGTGAGACTGTGCTGAATTCCCCCCACCCCCAACACCGCCCCACCGCCTTCAGGCCAGGGTGGGAGGAAAGTGGAG